AAAAGCACAATTATTTTTTTTATATCAGGTCCTGTACATAAATTATTATAAACCAAAATTAACATTATTTAAAACTGGGTATGCTATTAAAATGTGAAAAATTAATAAACTCTCACCTGTTTTAAAGCTTTAGCTTCCTCTTGACTTTCTGACAACATCTGAGACTTAACTTTAATGACCGTAAAGGCCTGATGTAGCTGTTCAGTTGTAGATAAAGTTTTGTCTTGTTCTGATGTTGTGTCTGCTTGATTCTGCAACACAGTTACAAAATAATATAAATAAGAATAGGTCTTTAAAATCTTTCTGTTCTGATTATACAGATTATCAATTTCATTGAATTATCTAACAATAAGAAAAACTACTTTGAAATTGTTTTTAATGCCCTCTGCTACAACCAGACTTCTTAAAATTTAGCTTAAAATATTTAAAAAAATAAGTCATTGCAATAAAAACTCAAAAATAACAAATGCACAGCAACACCACAAATTTAATATATAAAAAAAGAAAAAAATGAGCTGAATTTCAAAACTTATTTTTAATAAATCATTATTAAGAAATATAGCAACTTTTGTATAAGCATTATATCCTAAAAAACCTCATAAAATTCATTCTACCAACAAACTAATACTTTGTTACTAGTAGACTGTGAAAGCAGTTTTTGTGGCTTTCAAAGGCTTTTAAAGGGCTAAGACAAAATGCAAGGTGCAATGTTTTCATACAGGACTTTTATTTAAACTGATACTTTATTATTAAACAATACTGAATTTAAAATTGATAAGCTGTTAGAACTCAAATACATTGATGTAAGTATAAACCACTATTCCTTTTTACAAGTATTTAGAAACATATAACTGTTTCAATTACCAATAAAGTTTCTTTTCTCATTATTAAGCGTTGTGCCTCCAGTAGTGTAACAAGTAAACAGTTTCACTCAGATATCTAAAGCAAAGCCTAATGAAAGTATGTTATCAAAGTTGCACAGTTAATATTTTCCTACACACAATCAATCTTTCAAAATTACAGAAATTCCATTTTATTTTTTTATTAAATCTAACTTATTCTGTAATGATGTTATTTACCAAGATTTCTTGTTTGGAAGGAGCATAGAAAGAACAGACTGATTGTGCCGCAGTATGGTCTGATAGATCACAAAACCCCAGTGCTTCTTTTATTTGGCCTGATTATTTGTATTATAGATAGTATTAATTCCAATAATATGAAAGTTTATTCTTGAACAATACAAAAAATATACAGCAAGAAAGAAAGGGGAAACAGTAGAAATACCGGCCATACTACATCTGATATCTTGTTTAATTAAAAAATATCCTTTGAAGTTATCAAGAGGTATCAATATATGATACAGCTTACTATGTTATAACTGCATAAGAAAGTAACCTTTAGTCATTAAACAGTGGAAAAAATAGATGATAGACATTAAAAAATCAAGTTCCATTCTGAGGTATCCAAGTGTAGCTGGTTGAAGGAAAGTGACTTTCATGAAGGTTGACTACAGCTAGTTGACAGAAGTGGGTCAAATAAATACACTATTATTACATAAAAGACTTACATTTCAGAGCATAGAAGCTATAACATTGGATTAAAGTTCCAGTGAAAGAAATGAGTCAAACACAACACTCAGACACATTAAACTAAATGAGACAAAACCACAAGATAAAAAAAAATCAAGGGAAAATAAAATTATAAAGTAATAAATAGTTTCATAAATATTTATTATCTTTGAAAAATTTACTCAAACAATCCTACCAGAACATGTTGGGAAAACTGACAACACATATTACAGTATAAAACCTCTGAAGTCCATGAAACAATCACTAGATTACAAAAAATTATTCAAAGATTGCTTCCACATAGATTTATGAACACACGTAATTTAGTGTGTTAGTCTGCAGTTATTGTGAAAGACAATGAAATTTATGCAATAGCTTAACCAAACCACTTTTGTATAAACCTGGAAGTAGTGTACTAGTCTGATGCAAATCTAATGATGATTAAATGTGAGGTAATTAAACAAACAAAAAAAAACAGTAAACCAAAAATTAGAAATAAATTTCACAAGCTGATAAATGCATAGTTCATATCTTGGTCTATACATCCACTAACAATTCACATGTATATTTAAGTTAAGTAAGGAACATTGCTGTCATTTGCAAATACTACGTAGCTTGTTCTTCCATAATACATACTTTCATATCTGCAAAACTAACATTATTTCTAAATTCTACTTTGAAACGTACTAAATCCACTCAAGGTCATGTGCTAAATTTAGCACAGAGGTATTTTTCTGTAGCATGGTCTAATCATAGCAGTTATCTATTGTTTCATGGTACAGTTGTATTGAAAACTACTTTACCTTGTTTATAGAGGACTGCTTTGTGAATGTCACATGAAACAGAGATACTTATGGATTCTTGCGATTTAATTTGTGATTGGTTCATTACAGATAGAAAGTAGATGTGACAGCAGTTTTTGGGGCTTTCAGGGTTTTAAATGGCTGAGACATGATGTAAAGTGCTATATTTTCATATAGTTTCTTTAATCCTTTCGAGACGGCCCACGGGAGAAAGGCCATGTCATATCGTTTGTTGACTCGCATTGAAAATTTTATTGAACTACTATTTCATGAATTTATGACAATAAGTTTGGTATCAAACTGTAGATTATAATTCAAATTTTAGTACTATATATTACTCAATTTCTTAATTTAAAAATAAATATTAAAAAACACAGATAAACATTGATTTTTGTGTGTCATGTGGTATGTTGAATGCAGCACTGGTTCAAATTAGATGTTTGTGAAGTCAAAATACCAAGTCTATAGTTCTGTATGAATTAGAAACTCACTCAAATTACCGATATTGACAAGCAAGAATATAAAATAAGAACCTCTTATCCTTTCTATTTGGTAAGATATTGCTCATGTAATGAATCAAACACAGTGGCACCCTGCCCACCTTTTTCCATTTTTGGAAACGCTGCCTCATATACACTTACTTCTATATATGAAATGAAAAAGAATCAGATGCTCAGAATGTCCTCCTAGTGGCTTTTACAGCCATTTAAAAATCTTAGGACACCATTTCTTTCTTTTGAACCAAGATTTCAAGGAGGTAGGGTGTGTCTTTAGTATGCTCGAAATTTCATATTTTTTAGACTAAAATACATCTTAGTTACTAAGTTTGATAAATTATAGTGGAATTCTATGGTATTGGTGTAGAAAATTATGATTTTTTTAGTTATTCAAATGTATATGTAAAACCTAAAAAAAAATTATTTTGTTTCATATCCTCCACGTGGAAAATTTTTAAAGGCGTAGCAACCTACATCAAGCAGCAACCGAGTACAAAGATAGTAACTAGAAGAGATAATTGTTTGCTTTACTTCTTTATTTACTGTTCTATGTTTTAAGAAGAATAAGTTTAAAAATTTATTTCAAAACAGCAATAAT